ACTTTAGAATAGATCCGATGCTACAAAGCAGTAATAAATAAGACCAAACGAAATTTACAACTGAACATACCAGTTGCAAGCAATAAACATTGTGTATAACTGTACACCGCTGAGCACTCGTTTACATGCGTGAGTAGTCAATCTATTGGGTGATTCATGGTAAGAGCAAACGATGTCATTGCTTATCCCACTCATCATCACTCACTTTTGTGCATTAGCCACATGTTTTCATAGTTTTATTCATGTTGCTTTCAGGTGACAGACCAAGTATTAAGCGTGATGCTGTGCTTTTAGTGCAGAACTGAAGGCTGAGCTAATTAACGAACGTGAACATCACTGTGGTTTGTCTCTCCTTTGTTTTGGTGCACGTCGCGATTGTGCTGTGTTTCAGCATCTTCAAAGATGCAGTACTGTAGCAGATTATCTTGATCGCTTTCAGATCATGTCCTATATCAAAGACGTTCTTGATGCGTTTTGAAAGCCATGCGCTTGATGTTACCCCCCCCCCCCCCCCACCAAAAAAAAACAAAAAAACTGGATAACTTCACGCGAACGCATGTAACTGTACCAGTGGCGTGGAGCAACAGTGTAGCAATTTCTGCAGCATTGGCTAGAGACCAGGCGCTCTTCTTTAGGGGTTTTATTCTGTCACAATTAATTTCGATGACAATGCCACTTTTCGTGTCGCAGAACCTTGCGTGTCTAATGATTGATACGATTATAATGACCCACCTTTTGGCCACTGCTCAATACGCTCAGCGCGCACCGAAAGCGGCATGTACCAAATGTTATCACTTCCTAATATGATCCCAGATGTATGTACCCGTTGACCCTTTTCTAATTCATGACTTTCATAGCAGTTCGCTGGTGGAGTGCGTGGCACCCTTCAGTGATATTAGGGGTTGCCAAATCTATCCCGTACCTTGACGCAGTCGAACATGCCTCGTCATTGCTCATCGTGAAAAAGCATGACCACGCGCGTTAGTTGACAATAATGGCGTTTGTAGTAGTAGTGATTAGTTCCTAAATAAAATTACAAATGCACCCAAATTCTTTGTGCCTGATTTGTGACATGATGCAGTGGCTTTTATGGTGGATGGCGGATCATTGGCGGACCGGTGCTGTTTTGCCGCAGTTAAAGCAGTGATTATTGGGAATGACGTCTCACCGTTACAGTTTCTGACGAGTTGACAACGCATTCCACCGCTGTAGCCAATCAAATTCTCTAACGAATTTCGTACTGCTCCCTCAAGTATTCAGGGAAATGCAGGAGATGAGCATCTACTCCTCCGTGTGCACATCATCAATAATTAGTTCAGCAGCCCTGCCTTATTCTGACCTCGCCATTGAGTCTCACGTACCTTCGTTACAGTTTCTTCTCGTCTTTTTCGTGTTATTCTGGTAATATACACGCAAACAAGTTTTTTATCATCGTCAGGTGCCATCGGTGTGCCCTGATTTCATGCACGAGGGGTTTGACAATTGCGGGAAACCAACCAAATATAGTAACCACCTCGCCACTACGGCGGCTCGGTGTGTGACTGGCTGTAGTCATGTAATAAGGCGAAAACTTCTTGGGGGACGCCGCGTCGACAGAAGGACGCATCCCAACATTCAACGCAACGATTGTTTATTAACGTAGCAGCACCACAGGGACAAGCATGCCGCCGCTTTGCCCGTACGGTCAGAGAAGCAACGAATGGACCAAGCTTCGGTTTCATAGTCTCCAGTGGTGACGTAAACCTCCGGGGAAGCTGTGATGACGCTGTCCCTTATCGAAAGCCTGTTGCAGCAAATGGTCGTATGAGACCGGGATGACAAGACCCATGCTGCGCATGTTTGTGCGCAGTGATCGCCACATCGTTGATGTCTACTATGGTCACGTCCATTAGTCTGTGCCCTGGAATGATGCCAGGTGGCCGCTAAAGTCATGCCAATTGACAACGGTCGTACCAGACTCTACAGCGCTCGCGTTTTTGCTTGTGTAGTATCGCTTTGCTCAGCGTATTCAATCATGCAAGAATGCAGATACACGTGTTACGTTCCATTCTGATCAACCCCATCTCAATAGGAACAAGCGCCCACAGAACACACCGAGTGACTTAGATTGCCCCCAAATTTTGTGCATTATGTGATCACACCCGGGAAATATTAGCCACGTCATCTAAAGAGTAGACGGGGCTAGTCAATATGGAACACGAGGGGCACATCTTCGTGCCTGCATGAGTTGGCGGATTGTGGCTGGGTTACAGGGTAGACGCGTGTATGCGTCTGTTTCCTGCATGCACCCTAACGGCCAAAGTCCGCAAATTTAGAATGGGCCAGTGCGAGCAGCGCAGCTTCCTGTGGTCACTCAGTGGACGTTAATATAGAACAATTTGAAACGTAGATTTTTTTTGTTTAGTCTACTCGTAAGAAGTAGACCTCCAATGAAGAGAAAGTAGTAAGACAATTGTTGTGGTTTTACATACCAAGATCTCAATATTACTCTATGAGACGCCATAGTGAAAGGTCAAAAATGTCGTCTAGCGAAAAATAAACGAGGATGAGAAAAAACAAAAGAAGGCAAAAAATGCCACCTTGCAAGAGTCCCGTATAACACACGGACAATAGACAAAAGGGTAAGCGAATGAATGGAAGTGTAAAAATAAGGAGATACATGTAGTAGGGCCTACAGAAATCGCTAAAACATCATCGAGAAGGCAAGAGTGCGTGATGGAAACTTGAGCACAATTCGATAAATGACCGATATAGTGTTGGAGGATTAACAACTTCAAGTTGATATGAAAGCCTACAACAAAGAATGCATTCTATCGAACAGACAAGAAAAAACCACTCGTAATGAAAAAGAAGAGAATATTTTTCGACAAAGATCATATCATTGTCACCTAAATAAAAAGCTGGTGGTATGCGGGTTGATGAATACTGGGAGGAGGGAAGTGAAGGAAGCAAGAAATAGAACCCCGCAGAATGAAACAAGCAGCGAAGACGGAGAATAAAAAGGAAAAAATGGAGGACTATTAGCTTAGTAAGAATGGGTCGAGTGGTCGGGCTCGTCTATAATGCAGTCGAAGGGACCAATTTTATACTTACGCTTCGACTGCTTGGGTGGGGGGGAAGCATATTGCTGCACCACCGTGCAATGCCTCCTCTTTTGTCCAGCCTTCCCACTTGCCCATTAACAGCGTTTTCTGTCCACCAAGGCTGGCCGTGAATTCAAGCACCTACAAAGTGCGCGAAATAGGACGACAAAGGGAAACCGAAAAATAATGAAGGAGCGACTACGAGCTGACAGCACTTTTGCCAGTGCGCAGCTGTTGTATGGTGTACTACCATAAGGCGGTGTGCTGTCTTCCAAGCAAACCAATGAGCAGGTCGCGGGTTCGAATCCCGGCTGCGGCGGCTGCATTTCCGATGGAGGCGGAAATGTCGTAGGCCCGTTTGCTCAGATTTGGGTGCACGTTAAAGAACCCCAGGTGGTCAAAATTTCCGGAGTCCTCCACTACGGCGTCTCTCATAATCATATGGTGGTTTTGGGATGTTAAACCCCACAAATCAATCAATCAAGCAAACCAATGAGAGATCGGTGGTCGCTTTTACGAATACTCTACCGGTGGGGCGCCCCCATCAAACGGTGTGCCCAGCGCGCGTAATTTCAATTTGCCTTGCAAAACTTCCCGTAGTGTTTGAGCAAAATGATACTATAGAAAACTAAAAGCATCTGCAGGATCAAAGCATATGTAACACATTCCTATAAATTATAATAAGCATCAAGCTTCTCCTGCATCGAATGAACTTGCACAATTCATTATTTAAATAACAAGGATAGAAATACTATACTTGCTTACTGTTTTACCTCCATAAGCAATTGAAAAAGGACTTCGCTGTTCTATCTATGCATATGTGTACACCTGCCTAGCTGTCAAACTGGTCGGAGTTATTGCAATGAAACAAACGAGAAGGTCTGGGAGGATAACATGAACCTCATCAGGTGAGTTTCACGACCACCACTCACCAGCATTAGCCACAAAAGTAAGTACTATCTATCTATCTATCTATCTATCTATCTATCTATCTATCTATCTATCTATCTATCTATCTATCTATCTATCTATCTATCTATCTATCTATCTATCTATCTATCTATCTATCTATCTATCTATCTATCTATCTATCTATCTATCTATCTATCTATCTATCTATCTATCTATCTATCTATCTATCTATCTATCTATCTCCCCTTTTGTTCTCCTGCTTCGTGTATTTTTGATCGCCTTACAATGACGTCATGCTATATATAGTATTTTCCCCCACCAATTTTTTGTAGCTGTCTACTTCTCTCACAATCCACCATTGCATTTATTCTGCTTGTATCCATCCAAGATCCGTCTTTTTTTGTTTTTGCGTGTCTTGATCATGCCCACTTATTTTTTTCCACAGCTTTTATTCGGCTTGAGGAGTGGCTTTTATTTTCGAGTCGTTTTGCTTTTTACTATACTATAATACATCTATACTGAAGTGAGATTGAAGGAGATCCGTACTTGGTTGCTTTTCCGCCGTTCACCCACGAAGTGCGCAATGCTCGGCTCTTGTCTTTTTATTTATTTACCACATTTACCCGCACTGCTAAGAAGCTGCCCGCAGCCCTGCTGTATCGCAACAGAATCGAAAGTTGGGCTAGCTGGATATGCGTGCTATAACTATAGCTGAAGTGCACGAAAAAACAAAAAAGTTTCTTCGTGCACTTATACTACAGGTATGATGTACTGCGTCGTCGTTAATAATTGTGGGAACTCGACAAAACAAAAAGCACTTCGTTCGAAAGTAACACGCTAGACACTGTTAGACTCTGTTGACGAGCACAGACGCAGAGAGTTTGGCGTACTCCTGAGAGACTTCGTTGAATCTTTAATGCCTAGATAATTGAGGGAAGAAACATTGCCGAATGGTCGTATTACGCTTTGTTCTGTTCATTTTTTTTTTCTTGTTGCTGATTCCAGGGCTTCTCTTCAGACGGCTGGGCTGCCTCCATGGTGGCCGAGCCGGTATTCATCAGTTGCTATGGGATAACCAAGCATCAAAAGCTGAAACTCACAGGGTACCCACTGCCACTCCCAAAGTTCAGCAAAGACCATAGCGCCGTACTGAGAAAACTACAAAGGAATACTTGCAATCACAGCACACTGATGCAAAGACTTTTGAAACGTTAGATGAATATATCGGTCAAATTACGGCATGCATGACTGCTCAGCCCTCCTTATGCTCGCGTGCCTATGCAATATATGCACTGTTGAGTGGAAGCTGGAAGTATAGCACTTCGAAATACCATGACCGACAAAACAGTAGCTTTCATCTTAACGCACAACCAATTCACGCTCACATACAAAAAGAAACCATAACCGGAGGGTCCTTTATTCATTTTGCCTAAGCTTACTGGAACATGAAAGCGGTTTTCTTCTTCGTCTCCATGGGCTCATTGATTGTCTTACGCACCGTGGACATTGGCAGCGAGCACCACATTCCGCGAAGCTCTATGATGGTGAACCGGAGCAGAGTCCAAAAGTTCACGTTGGATGACTGGGATATTTTTTGCAGCATTCACAATACAAGGACCAGTGCTCCAAACATTTGGTAGTAATGGTGCGAGGGCATCCGCAGAGATACCACCATTGCCGCAAAGCAGATACGGTGAGATTTAACTGGTAGAGAAGATGTACGGCAGGCTTTCCCACCTTCTGGAAGCCAAGGCAACTCTATTCTGTCATTGGAAGTGGCGGAATCTCGATCGTAGGTCGCGGCAAAAAGTGTCAAATTTGAACAAGGAAATCAAAAAACATTGTGACACGCTGTGCAAACAGCAGTGAGACGATCTCTCTGAGTCCGTCGATAGTCAAATCAGAAATGGCTAATCCTGTCACCTTCTGAAGCCCTTCTGGGATGAGTACCGCAATGAGGCCTACCAGAAACACACTCTAGCACATGCCCTACACGAGGCCATTGAAAAACAGGAGGTTGACGAACTTCTTACCGGATTAGTATCTAAGTACCTGCCGGTTGAACGAGAGGGCAAAGACGACGTGTTTCCAAAATATGGCGCCCCCCCCCCCGTCTACGTGAACTTGACGAAGACATTTCAGAGGCCGAAATCAAGTGAGTCAATCAATAGCTCAATCGCAACACGACACGAGGGCCTGACAGGATCAGGAACAGAACTCTCAGAAACCTTGACGACGCATTCATAGAACGTCGAGCTGATTTGATTATTGAAGCATGGGAACGGGAAGGGTCCCTGGGGAATGGGAGCTAGCCGGGACCGTGCTGATCCCCGAGCCAGGAAAGTCTCCTAGCGCTGAAAATCTTCGCCCCATATCTCTCACGTCATGCATGGGTAAGGTGGCCGAGCACGCTATTCTCAACAGGCTTAACGACTACCTGGAGAGAAATAAGATTTATACGCATCATATGATCAGGTTTCGTACCAGCCTTTCAACGCAGGATGCAATGCTGCTCATTAAGCACCAAGTTCTTGATGGTTGCTTTGGAAATACAAAATCACTTCTTGGCCGAGACCAAGCGAAGGTCTTTAACAACATCAGGCATAAATTCATCATTAGGACGGTGGTGAAGCTTGAGCTTGGGACCAAGCTATACGACTACATCAGATGCTTCTTGTCTGAATAAAAAACGAGACTGCGCATCGGGAAGTTCTTCTCCGAGGACGTACAACTCGGATAATGAGGGACGCCCCAGGGATTTGTTATTTCTCCGGTGTTGCTCAATATCTGCTCGATTGGACTGTCGGAAAGACTGGCTAGCGTGGATGGCATCAAGCATACCAACTACGTCGACATCATGATCTGGTGTGTAGGTGGCAGTGAAGGCCGGCTGCAAGATTCTCTTCAAGAAGCATTCACCGAAGTGAATTCATACCTGCGCCCGCCAGAACTTAGATGTTCACCCGGTAAGGCGGAGCTCCTGCTCTGGGGAAAAGAACAGGGCGTCCAACCAAAAAGACGAAAACCTGTCGAAGAAAGCGGTATACACATGTACACCAGTGACGGGGAGAAAATCTCGAGACCAGACACCATCAGGATCTTTGGAATGTTTATTGAAGCGAAGGGTGGCAACGACACCACTCTGCGGAAGATCGTCGCCAAGACAGACAACGTCTTTCTATTCTTCAAAAGGATCTCCGGGAGACACGGATGCCTTGAGGAGGACAATTTGTTTAGGCTCATCAATACTCGTGTGCTCTGCAACATTACCTACGTTGTTGCCATGCACAACTGGCGCAGGTGAGAATGGGACAAAGTCGACGTTATTATCAGAAATATCATCAAGAAAGCGCTGGGACTTGTCATACGCACACACCGAAAACCTGCTCACAGTTGGTGTACACAACTCTGCTGCCGAGATAGTGGAAGCGCAGCAAAGCTCGCACCTGGCTAGGTTTCCACTACGATGGCTGGTCAGCGCATATTTGGAAAGGTGGGTTTCAACCCAATGGAGCTGGAAATGAATAGCGAACGTATACCGAAGCGTGTTAAGGAAAACGTCATTATTGCCCCAAACCCGGCAACACACACCCTGTACTCAACGAAGGACGTCGTCGGGCGAGGGCAACAACTCTACTGAAGCAACTTGGAAAGGGTGGTGTAAATACAAGCTTCGTTGACGCTGCAGCATATCGAGATGGCAAAAAGTTCGCAGCGTTGGTCTTAGACCAGACTGGCTCGACTCTAACCAAAACAAACCCGCAGGAGGCCGAACAAGTGGCCATCGCACTCTCTCTGCTAAATGATCAGTGCAAAGAGGTGCACAGCGACTCCAAATGGGCAGTCAGAGCCTTACAAAAAGGCCGCACTTCCACACAGGCCGCCAGGATCTTGAACAGCTCCACCACCGTTCGCACTGTCCCTCACACCATGTATTCATTCCCGCCAATGTTGGCTCAGTATAAGGCGTCACACTGAACTCAAATGAGTCGGCCCACACAGCAGCACGCTGTTATCGACTTGGTCGACGGCTCCAGTGCCGATGACGCGGCACATAAAGACACCGCTACTATACTCAACGAGATTACAAACTATTACTACATGGCCATACGGGCTTTCCCGATGACACATTCAAAACTCAATACAGCACAGGCAGTCCAGTTGCGTTACTTCACGCCCATTCATAGCCGTGATTAGCATACCTTAATGTAATTTATCCCCACTAATTCCCCGATCCCGCCTTTGCCGCTTGCGGGTAGGCCGCTACACCAACACACATGCTCGGGGAGGGCGGGTCGTTAGACCGACTTATAGCAAAGCCGAGTGGGATGCGCTTGTGCGCAGCCTAAAACTTCGGGACCAAATTCGTGCAGCCCAGTACGCCCTCGACAGGGTCATCAGGATAGACCTGTCAATCTCCACGTGGGAGTAGCCGGGTGGTATGTGGCAACCCTGGCGTCTGCATTGGACTATAATAAAGTAGTTCTCTCTCTCACGTGCCCGTCACGGAAAGCTTTGTCACCCTATAAGATGGAGTTATCGCAGGCTTTCTTTGCATACGCTGATTTCCTACTACCTCCGCGATCAGCCCACTTTAAACTAGCTCTACATCATCTGATGACGATGTGAATGAAGTCATGATAACGTCAAGAATTTTAGCATTGTGTTGGTTTAAGATGTCATCACGTGATGACGTTTTTTTGCATCTCCTGTGAATAGGACGTCCACAGAGCTGCTCTGCTGCCGGACGCCGACGGTCAATTTTTGCGTTCGATCATTGCCTCCGTGATTTAAGGCTTATCTCGGAAGCAACTATTTGATGGCCCATCTAACGTTTTTGTTAAGTGGACTACAACTGCCGGCCATGCGCCTGTTCTTAGAGCTTTAGCAGGACTCCGGCTTCACTAACGCTCTTAGTGCGAACAACTTAGATTGCTAAAGCACACGCTATAGCGAATAATTATCTAACTTGCAAGTAGTGGAATTGGAATTTCTAATAAAAAAAGTGCGCTACGTAGATTTCTTTCACAAAAAACTATGAAGGAGTTTAAACATCAGGTGGTAAAAGGAACATTTCGAAGGTAAATCAAGCAACTTCGCTAGGAGATATGTAGAGGTTCATAAGAATGCCCATATGCCAAACAACATTGCGGTATCGCATTCGTAAGAAAAAGTGCATTTCCCCGCTTGAGGCTGCTTACTGGTCGAAACAACCGTATGAAATGTGAGACCAAGGGCACGGCGTTTTTCAACAGGACGGCGTATTGCCTTCCTTGTTTCCTAATGCATACATCCGATTTTTGCCTATGCACAAGTTTGCTTTCACAGGTTTTAGGCTTCTGCAACTTTTTTACGGCCAGCTCAATTATCACTAAGGTACACCTTTTTTGCAAATATTGATTAACTTCGAAAGCTCCACTATCTCTATATTGTTGGTTTATTTGAGGTTTTCATGGTTTGTCGTGTCGGAATGACATTTTTCATCACCTGGGATAGCTTGTCGTCGTCCTGTCTAGTGACTGTACCTGCGAATTCCACTGTACGCTCTTTGATTGAATAGTAAGTTTATTGTTCATTGCGCCAACGCTAACGGCGCTCACCTTTAGAGCCGCTAATCTATTCTGAAGCGATGCTCTGAATTCATGTACTTTTTCTCTCACCGCTAGCTCATTAAGTGGCTTCTGGCTTATCATTTTATGCCTTTGTTTTTTTTTAAATCTCAGTGAAATCGAGCACTTATCATTCTATGGTCACTGCATAGGATCTTGCCAACTACTTCTACATCCTGTACAATGACTAGGCGTGCACACAGAATGAAGTCTATTTCATTTTTAGTTTCGTTATTAGGACTGCGCCTCGTACCGTTACGGTTAGTCCGTTTTCTGTGGAAGGTATTCAAGATCCGTAAGTTATTACGTTCTGCGAACACTATTAATAACTCCCCTCTGGCTTTTCTAGAGCCGATGCAATATTCCGCCACTGCACGGCCTCCATCGTGTTTTCCTACTTTCGCATGAAAATCACTCATCAGTAGTGTACTGTGTCATTACTTTATTAAGTGCTGACCTTGCGTCTTGGCAGAAGTGTTAAACCAGATGATCAT